CCAGAGAGCTGGATGGCCTGGGCAAAAAGGAAAGGCTTTTAACACAGAATGAGGAGATGGCTGAGCGGTGATATTCCTGCATTACTTGGCGTCTCCAGCTCCCGTGGGACCTGCCCTCAATTGCTAAAAGAGCCTGACCTCTGACAAAGACCAATGATTTCAGCAGTAATTAATGATACTGTCAAATTAATTAACCCAAGTCTTTGTCCACAGGAAAAAAAGGAGCCTCTAACGTCAATACTGCTGTTTACTAGTCCTTGACCAAGCTCTATAAACCCAAACCTTCAGTCGAACACAGGAACACCACTGGCTGATGACCCCAATAAGGCCCCACATATTAAGCCACTGTTATTTATTAACAAACCTCTCACAGTAACATATCCTTTGATAACAGGACTTTTAGTGAGTTGACAGCTCTCCAAAATCTAACACTATTTTAAATAGACACAAGCCCAAGAATACCAGTGTGTATCATTCACATTTCCTACAATACCCTTTTAGATACCCTTATGAATTATGGTGATGAAACCCTAGACAAATGCTGTAGGATTTGATTAAGCCATTTAATAAATGGCCCTCATTAAAATGCTGGTTCCCTTGTCCTTGTCTATAAGGACTCCGACTCCTAACAAATGCCCGCATATACATTTCCATATTATCTCTTTAGAGGATTTAGAACTATTTTCTTACACCTAACGCAGCTTTTATTCCATTTAGAATAATTACCCTCCATCCCATTTCTGACTTTCAAGAAAAACAAGACAGTTAATTGACCACAGGAGGACTCTCTCAAGGGCATCAGGCTGCAAAAGCTCTTCTGTGAGCTCACAGCTTAAGCTGATGTAATCTGCTACAAGAAGCTGACTTCTATTTTTAAATCATACCCTTTTACTCTGCCTTCAAAGGGCACATATATCACATATTGCAACGGCTCATAAAATACTTCATGGCATAGTCTCCCATCCATTTCCCTCCTGGGTTGAATCACACTGTCAGGAGGGGGCTTCCAACTGCTCCTACGTCACCCAGTTCTGAGCACTGAAATTCATCCACCATTTCCTATTTCTGGTCTTTAGGAGAAGAGCTACATATGGCCACACTCTCCAGGTGTCTTGTTTATCATGGTAATTTTGACAAGGAACAGATGACTAGCAGGGTCCTTCTTGAGGGCTGGGAGCAAGCTTTTTCACCTCTTTGTACGTCCATCCCCAAATGTCGGCACTTAATCCATGCTTATTGGGGTTGCTGCTGAGAGGTGTCATCAGGCCCATGTGCTCCAAACGGTGTCAGAAAGAAAACAGATTATTTGCTTTATTTAAGTTTTTCACTCATCATTTTGGTCATGCTCACTGTGTATTATTTAAAAAGTTTTCAGCACCTTGAAAACATGATGAGAAAAGCAATGGCTGGAAGAGAAAGTACACTTGATCTTGCTATTTATACTTACTCTGCTCATTTCTAAGAAGAGTGACGAGCTCCGTAATTAAAGTGGTGCAATTACAGAGTGTGGGAGAGGGCAGAACACACACGTCCCCGGGTCCGCGTGCAGCATCATTCTCGGGCACCCAGGTCTCCCCACGTCCTCCCAGCAGCTTGGGTCCTCCCAATCCCTTCTCTACCTTGCATTCTGGGTGAGCTGGTGAGCACACAAAGACGATCATGCTCCTCCCCACCTCGACATCCTCCCACTCCCCCGGCCTTCCGGAGATGTCCTTTCTAGCCTGGCCCTGCTTACCTTGCCAGCTACCATAGTATGGTCACCCCCATTCCCACACCTGCTCTGCCTCTGTGCTCTGGTTGTAAAAACCTTCCAGGTCCTTCCAGGTGCCCTGTTTGCTTTCATCTAAAGGCCACTGTCTAAGTTTCTCCCTCAGCCTGGAACTCTGCTCAGCAGTCCCTACTCCCTCCACCCAGCTCCTTCCCACTCATCCTTTCCTGTCTCGTTCAGATGTGACTTCCTGTGGAAGCCCCTCCTAGCGACCCTGCAGCACCATGGGTCACCTCAGACAACAACACCTCATCCTATTACATCACGTTTACTTGCTCCATCCCCACGTGACTACATGTGACAGGAAGGAGGGATCCTGTCTGCTTATCTGCTACTATATCCTTGTGCGTGTGGCCCACCACGCAGGGGGGCTTCCGTATCATTTGTTGGGAGGATGAATAAATGAATGAATGCATGCTTAAGACTGCAACCAGGGGGATCTCATCTATGAGGATGAATTAGAATTCTGTCTCCTCGGAAAGTGTAAACTCCAAAGAACTGAATTTATAGCAAAATGCTACTTTAGTTCTGGATTCATCAGTTGAAACGTGAAGGTGGCAGCTGGCTCTGCCGAGGCTGAGACTCTCCCTCCCACAGTGACTCCTAAGGAGCCACCCACAGCCAGAGCCCTCTCCCAGAGGTCACAGAAATGCGTTTTGGTAACTTGTTAATGAGAGATAAATGGAGACTCTGTTTAAAATGGAATCCTGCTGGGACAAAACGCTAAAGCTTGCTCACAGTTAAACTTAATGTTATCAACTCCAAGCAAACAGCAAACTCCACAATTTAAATTCATTCCAAAGAAAGCAGCAAGCCACAAATTAATAATACTACTTCTTAACTGCAAAACCCTATGTCAATTCCAACACATCACAAGGTGAGTTGCGTGGGATCAGAATGCCCTATTGATTTGAGAAACAATGGGTCTGGAACTTGAAACTCAATGACTGGAATCTGACCATGCTCTATGAATGCTAGTCTGGCCCTGGGGTATGATAGTGAAGAGACAAATATGGTCCCTGTCCTCATGGACAGTCCTGCCTAATATAGAGGAGGATGGAGTCCTGAATATTGACTTCTTAAAAAAAAGAAGTCTTTCCCTAAATTCAAAGTACACCATGTTCAGCTATTAAATTAAATCCAGCACACATGGGATTGTAGAGTAAGGCATCTCTTCAGCTACTTCTGCATGGAAAAGGATTCTTTTAAACCATATTTTCCAAAATCAACAGATTGATGACACTAAAGAGTGGGTAATGTTTCAACATTCAAACCAAATGATGAAGGGCTTGCTTTTTATTTCATTGTTACACAGCTAGTAACCACCCTCCAAAATAAAACCAAATAAACACAGGTCTATGTGAAATTCTCCTGCCTCCCAGAATAATTGTATTTTTAAATTTTTTAAAAAGATTTATTTACTTGAGAGAGAATGCAAGCATAAGTTGGGGGAAGGGGCAGAGGGAGAGAATCTTCAAGCAGACTCCCCGCTGAGTGCAGAGCCCAAGGACAATTTGGGGCGCCATCTCATGACCCATGATATCATGACCTGAGCCGAAACCAAGAGCTAGACGCTTAACTGACTGTGCCACCCAGGTGCCCCATATTTTAATTTTTATTACATGGTACATAAAAGGTGCTCAATAAATATTTTTTGAATGAATAAATCACAGGCCAGGTATTACTAGGAAAATGTCAATTTTAGGTCAATTTCTTTTTTTTTCTCTTAAGGAAAAAATCATTCATATTTTCTAGGATTCTTTCATTTCTTTGTCTGACCTTGGGCTAGTTACTTAACATAGGTATCATTTTCTTCATCTGTAAAATTAAATCTGTGCCTTGATTATTGTGAGGCTTAAAGGAGGTAGTAGATATAAAATGATTAGCACTATTCTCTGCAGATAAGGTTTTTGTTTTGTTTTGTTTTAACTTCTCTACTCCATCCTCCTCTAACCCGCAAAAAAAGTGTCAAAGACAAACCAAATTACTGGCCTGATTAGAAAGTCAGGAAATTTCTAATGTGGCCTGGGCCTTGATTTTCTCTTTTATAGAATGAATGAGCTTTACTTTTCAGTTCAGATTTTCCATGAATTCAGAAATCTGCCTTGCTAAAAACTTAGATACTGCTACCACATTAAGGTTATCTACAATCAGAAATAAAATAAATTCTGATTTCCTTCACAGAGAGGGACTCCAAATTACAAATGAAAATAAGATTTGGCTTTTAAAAGAATTTGCATCAATCTAATAGTAGGTCAAGAATCGGTGACCCTATTCTTAAGCAACAGAAGGTCCCCTCTTTCCCCCATCCCACACGCTTCACCTCCTATGTACTAGCAGGGTTTCCCATTCACAACTCCACATGATGTACCTAAAAAGAAATCTAGGGATTTTAAGCAACATCACTAATTACAAATGGATCATTTGAAATGAGTAAGATAATTGACACAATATTATGTCAAACCTGACATTTGCTTGATTTTTTTTTTCCTTCACACCCTGAAATACAGCCAGATCAACCAAACAAAGAACTACCAAGATTGTACACAAGTCGCTGCATTTTCATAAATACTCAGTGTATGACTGCCACCTAGTGGTGGGATATATCCTTGTATGGCCAAATATCCAAACAGCTAAATGGACACAAGATAATTAAAAAACCAAGGGAACATTGTTCCTCTGCTGCTCACCAGTTATTTCAGGGAAATTTAAGAGCATACCCATCTTCTCAGCTAACTATTCAAATTTCTGAAGAGGTCTACTGCAGATGGAACATTAGTTAATCCCACAACCAAACCCCACCACTTCTCAACCACTTCACAAAACAAAGGAGTATTATTCTATTAATTTTAAAATTCATTAGCAATTAAAAAAGATTCTCCAATAGCCTGTCCTCACTTTCCAGTTTCATTTGATCTAATCTTGATCTTTAGTTATGCATGAAAAAGCATTTTAAAGTGACAACCTTACAAAAAGTGTACATTATATGAAAATCCGACTTCAATTAGAACCAGTTACTAAATCCCAGCAATTTCCAGCTGTCTCTTCTATCTTACCCTTAGAGAATTATATATCACATTAATTGGTATTCTGTCACATAAAAAGACACTGGCAATGATTAATTGCATCCTTGGTGCTTTTGAGTTATGTCTTCTTCACTAGAGTGATTCAAATCACACCTCATTACCTTCCAGCAGGTACCCCTCTTGGTAACCTTCATAAAATCTCCTACCTTCCTGAACTTCTCCATTTGCTTGTAGAGGTCTGGATCAAGCTCCTGTGACACATCCTTCATCCATAATAATGCCCCTCTGTATTCAGTCCGGCACTGCTCCATGCGATTCACCGTCAGCCAAGTGTCTGAGATGGCCCGGTGCCGAAAAGTCTCCACTTCTTGGTGAAATCGACACAAAGGATTTCTCAAGGCCAACCTAGACAAGAGGATAAAGCCATAATCTTGAAACCAAGCAGGCCAGCAGTTTGCATCCTTGACAGTTTACCAATCTTAAATTCCTGAGCCTAGAAGAGTGCCCGGAATATAGACAATGCTGCAGAAATATTTGATTGAAATGGATGAACTGATGAGTCAACCAGATTACCCATGTACTGATCCCTTAGATTACTGTTATTTAACTGGACTACTGGGAAGTATTTCCAACAGTATTGTTGGGGATAGTCCCATGCCTGAGCAAAGAGTATCTGTCTGGAGCTGGAACCAATCCTGTGTTAGTGGAGAAAGGTCAATGCACAATCATTTCCCATTTCTATTCTTGGCATCCCTGTCTCTGCTCCTCTGAAGCCTGGCCCTTTGAGGAGGGATGGACTTGTGCATGATTAGGGTCTCCCCTGCTAGGTCATTTTGGATTACTCTCCAAATGCCAGGGCAATCTGCTGCGTGCTCCAACAGTCACAGAGAATGGAGCATGAATAGAAGCATTTTTTAAAAAAGATTTTATCTATCTATTTTAGAGACAGGGGAGAGAGAGTACACGAGCCGGGGGGGGGGGGGGGGGCGGGAGGGATAGCAAGAATCTCAAGCAGACTCTGTGCTGAGTGTGGGGCCTGACATGGGGCTCAATCTCATGACCATGAGACCATGACCTGAGCCAAAATCAAGAGTCGGACACTTAACTGACTGAGCCACCCAGGTGGCCCAAACAGAAGCATTTTTTTTTTTTTAAGATTTTATTTATTTATTTGACAGAGACAGAGATAGCGAGAGCAGGAACACAAACAGTGGGAGTGGGAGAGGGAGAGCAGGCTTCCCGCCGAGGAGGGAACCCAACATGGGACTCGATCCCAGGACCCTGGGATCGTGACCTGAGCCGAAGGCAGACGCTTAACGACTGAGCCACCCAGGCGTCCCAGAAGCATTTTTAAATGGTCTAGGAAGGGAGTGAAGCACTGTGGATCTACATGTTAGGCACAGATACGGTATATGATAGATCCTTATAGAGAAACAAAACTTGAGGATCCTATACCATAAGTGAATGTATATTATACAAGGTGGATATAAAATAATTATAATGTTAGCTTTAACATACATTATTTAGCAAGAAAAAAATGTTTGAGGCTTATCAAACTTTGGATGAAATATTTATTTTGCAGGGAAGGGCAATACTGCTTCTTCCCTACCCAAAATGAATAATGTCACATGACCTATACTCTTAAAATACAGTTGTCTCCATGAGGTTGCAGCACATAGGTTCAAAACATGAAAATGAGTAATTACATTTCAATTTAAAGGCAAACTTATGAAGCTGAAGAGAACAGTAATGTTAGTGAGCTGAAGTCAGTGCTTGGCAGTTCCAACAGTACTATCAGATTATAGATGCGGGCAATAAACTGTTTAAGGAAAAAAACCCTTTTACTGTTTTCTCCTGTTTTCCTCTTTTCTGTAAAACACTGCTTATTTTAAATAGTCAGCATTTCTCTAAAAAGTTTGCTCACATCATCCTACGTAAGCGTTGCGGGTGGTTTTCAGACATATTATGGTGCCATAAAGTAAGCTTGTGCTTTATCGCCATTGGATTAAATTTAATACTCACCTTTCATCAAATTGAATGCACAGTTGTAGCAATGATTATCAAATAAGTCAGTAAAACAAATTCTGCTGTAAAGGTTTTTAAACTGGGGACTTCTATTTAAAGAGAGAAACAGCCCTCAGCTATCCCTCTAAGGATCCTGTTCATTTCTGGACTCCTCTTTCTTTTCCCTTGGATCTTACCAATTTCCCTAAACTGGCTGAAAAAGTATCTTGTGAATAAAATATTCTCGATTTCTTTGACTGTTGTAAAGTTAGAAAGAAACCTCTGAAGAGGTAATGACATGATGACAGATGTTAAGATCTTGAAGAAAAGAAAAAAGCATATAAAATCACCTCATTTTTTTCTGTAACTTGCTTCATATAAGATTAGAAAGGTGAAAACCTGTTTCCTGGTGGTACCAGGGACTGCGTCTAGACCAAGGAAAAATGCAATAACCAGAAATATCAAGCTTCAGTGGAAGACTGCTGCACATTTTCATGGATGAAGATCTACACAAAGGGAAAGATTAATAAAGTATCTACAGGTCTACTCCAAAGACATTTATCCTTTAGTAGGAAAATGTGGAAGCGACCTAAGTAATAGACAGAAGGGCTCAGGTTAAATGCATCGTGGCATGCCCTGGAATACTATGGTATAGATGTTTTTAAAAATGTATACATAGAAGCAAAATGTGTTATGGTTATTTGATCAAAAAATCAATTTGCTAAATGATCAGTAAGCACTACTATACAAAAACTGTATGGCATGATGCTGTTTATATTAAAAACATATTCTGGCATATCCCAAATTACATCCATTCAAGATCTGAAAATTTAACTTCGTGAGAGTTTTAGGTCATCCCGTACTATCTTTATGTTAGGAGGACTGGTTGGGATGTCATGTGCTTGGTCAGCAGCTGAGTGGTATGAAACCAGAGCCATCTTGCAGCAGGTCACCTTCCAAATTTTAAAGTTGTCCAAGCTGCATTAAATTATGGATATAGTGCACTTTGCTAGTTTATAGTGATGCTTTGAAGTATCATTTGCATTGTTTTTGTCGATTTCTGTTTTTGCTTGTAACCAAAGGTTAGGTTATATAAACTCAAGGTACCCTATGTGTGCTCTGGGAGATAATTTGGTACCCAACTCTGAAAGGGTGTAGTTAGAGAGTCATATTATAAAATAATTACGGGATCAGTAATGGTAACTCTTGTAGTGATTGTTTTCAGGGATTTGGCTTTGTTTCCCATAAACGGATGTAAGTTTTGGCATACTGGTAGGTATAAGAATTTTTCCCACTGAAATTAGTGATAATTATATGTTTAACATATGAGAATTTACTCTTTGAAAGACTGAGAACCAATTATCTTGGTGAGGGTGGGGTAAGTACATATGCATAGAAAATATCCATCAAGGGGTTAAAAGTGGGTCATCTCTATTAGTAAAATTTTAATTGCTTTTTAATTTTCTTTTGATTTGTCTGCATTTTAATTTTCTCTGAAACAATGCGTATTTTTTACAAGGAAAAACGATTAGATTAAAAGGTACAATTTTTTTTTTTTTTAAAGATTGTATTTCCCTATTTGACCAAGACACACCGAGAGAGGGAACACAAGCGGGAGGAGTGGGAGAGGGAGAAGCAGGCTTCCCACGGAGCAGGGAGCCCAGTGCAGGGCTGGATCCTAGGACCCTGGGATCATGACCTGAGTTGAAGGCAGATGCCTAATGACTGAGTCACCCAGGAACCCCTAAAAGGTACAATTAAAAATCATAAGCAACACTTTTCCTGGGAAATGGATACAGAACTATTGGAAATGGTATTGTTCAACTGTGAAAGTTGGCACTGTCCACAAAGTTGGGGTCCAAATGTTATTAGGCAGAACCAACACACCCAGGAGTGGGACCCTGGGAAACTGACACAGTTGGTCTCTTTCTGCTACTCCAGCTTTCTCAGGATTTCATAGGAACACCTGTGTAACAGGCTGATGTCTGCTCTTGGTCCACAGGGAAGGAAAGAAGGAGAAATTAGGAGAAGAAAATGTTGAACAATTTAAGTGAAATTTTTGTAGCCTGAACATTTTTGGAAACTACCTACAACGCCTTATTTAGGTATAATCTTGCCTAATATTAGTGAGTGACATTTTTGGGCTAGTTTGTTATTGAGGTGGGGAGGAGTAGAGAAGGAGTGTTACTTTTCTCAGGCACAAAATGCAACTATGTGCAGGGGCTCTTGCTTATTCTACACCAACCATAAAAATGAGTCATGAGAGTGTTAAAAAAAAATGTCACTCATCTGCCACAATTTCCTCTCTACCAGAGCTTCTCAAACTTTTAAATGTTCATCGAAATCAACCAGGGATCTCATTAAGATGCAGATTTGGATTCAGCAGTTGTGGGATGGGGCCTAGATTCTGCATTTCTAAAAGGCTTCTAGGGGATGCTGCTGATGTTGCTGGTCCAGGGTCTGAGCAGAATAGTTCAGGGCATCGTGAACACCACCTCTCCAAAGTTAATTGGCCCACAGAGAGCAGAGAAGGAACCCTTCCACCTGGTCTCATTAGGCTACTGCTTTAATCAGTTGCTGGTAGGGGACCAGACTGAATGCTATTAGCAATGCTAAAGGTCAAACATAAGCCTAGGCAGCACTCACAGTGATTGGTACATAACATGCTGCCTACAGACCAGGAGAAATATGGAAAAAAAAAAAAAACTTAACAATTACTGGGAGGAAAATAAATCATACATGTTATCTTAATCAGAGAGTTAAGAACAGACTAATAACTGAGAACAGAGTAGCTCCTCAGTCTCAGGCAAGAGCCTTCTAGAGAACAACAGGAGAGTCCCCTCCATGGCTGGGTGGATCCCAGATTCTTTGCCGACCCCCCAAATGGAGCCCCAGTGAAGGCCACACACCTTTGCTGGGAAGAAAAGCAGAGAGCCTTTCCTGTTGCTTGCATCATCTTTCCTGCTCTGGTTTTATCTTGGAAGCCTTGGGATCGGAGAAATTTTCCCAGTTCGTTTTCTTCTTGAGACAAGACTGATGAAGAAAAGACCAAAAGGAGCCATGAACAATAAGCATTTTTATTACAGAGCGGAGAGAGACACCACACGGTCCTCGCTCTTTTAGAGGGAAAGACGGGATGAAATTAAATCCACGTGGCAAGCTACAAGGTAAGCTCCCCCCCCCCACCATTTAACTTTCATGCTGTCCCTCCATTTACAAAAGGAAAGATCAAATTCACTTGAGTACATCTGTCAGTGTGTTTGGTGCCCTGTAATCAGAACCAGAAAATGACCTCTGCACTGAAAAGCGAGCCGATAATGTGCTGTTTCAAGCTGAAATAAAAAAGTTGGGTTTGTCGATTATGACGGTGGGAATCTTTTGTGGCTGCCTGTAATACAGAGCCGGTTTCCTCTGCTTATTCTCTCTCGCTGACTTTTTGATCTCTGCTTTCTGAGTTACATTCTACTTGATAATAAAGCAATTCCAATACCTTATTCATGATGTGGGTTTTTGGTTTGAAGTGGGAGTAGGGATTGAGGGTGGGGGGTAATCAGCTTAATGTCTTCATGGGTTTATTTTTTAGGTAGGCATCACATCCAGCATGGAGCCCAACGTGGGGCTTGAACTCATGACCCTGAGATCAAGACCTGAGCTGAGATCAAGAGTTGGAAGCTTAAGTGACTGAGCCTCCCAGGTACCCTATGCCTTCATGGGTTTTTTAAATGCAGAGCTGGGGGCGGTGGCTCAGTCCGTTAAGCGTCTGCCTTCAGCTCAGGTCATGATCTCAGGTCCTGGGATCAAGCCCCATGTTGGGGTCCCTACTCAGCGGGAAGCCTGCTTCTCCCTCTCCCACTCCCCCTGCTTGTGTTCTCTCTCTCGCTGTCTGTCAAATAAATAAATTTTCAAAAAAATTAAAAAAAAAAATGCAGAGCTGGAACCGTGAATTGGTCATGCCTAAACTTGGCTTTATTTCTAAAGACAACCTGAGATGGCCCTGTTGGTGAGCTAGTGACTGGTACATGCTTTCTGCAGATTCATTTGGCAGTAAACATGAAATGTTACAGAATTCTATGTATCTTTTAACAGTGCACTTCCACTGTTAGGAGTACATTCCAAGGAATTAGTGAAATGGGCACAAAGCTGCATATGGAAAGATAATCATAGCATCAGTATTTTTAATAGCAAAACACTCTCTTTCTCTACACTGGGGCTGATTTATAAAACTGTGTGTCTTCAAACAATGGAACAGTGGGCTCTTACACAGCCACTGGTCCCCAATCCACATTTACCAACAGCTGAGCAAAGAGTGACACTGAGTTTCCTAAATGTTTTCTTTTCTAAATACAGCATTTCTATGGACTTACTCTGAACACTATTCTTATTTCACATTTCTGTATTTATGCATTTACACATCATGTGTCTCTAAAAATGCTTTTTAAATGCTACTAGGATTCTTGTCCCTTTTCATAAACAATCCACAATTCCTTCAGAATGCATCCCATTCCTGACATAACCTCTCCAATGAGAGCATAAGCCAGGAACCACAAATCCAAAGGTGGAGGTTATACTTGCTACTGCTTCCTTATTAATTTGTGACTGTAGCTCACACTAAACATTGCAGAGGATGAATCTTTTGGGATCCATTCTTCCTGAGAAATAAATGACTACTCTCCTTTCTCTCTGTCCCTCAAGAATCAAGTTCACTACTCAAAGCTCAAAGGCTGTGAATTAGTTGACCCCCATTTCTCTGGATAGCAGCGCCCTCTCGGCATCTGATATTAGGGTGTTCATGGTTGGGTATGTGTCTGTCTATCCCACGAGACTCTAACTTTCTCAGGACAGGGACCTCATCCAACTCTGGATTCCCCAAGCTGGGCATTCAGGGCACTGTTAAGTGCTTGTAAAATTAAATTAACTATAATTTTTGCCTCATTATCCTCATCCTCCTATTTTCCCCCACCACCTCCTATCCCACTTTATTTCATTTTAAATGCTTATTTGATATTTATGCCATGATTCTATGTAGATTTAAAAAAACCATAATTATAAGTTTTGTTGTTTTTAATACCTTCTGTAACTTCTTTCTACTTACTGATATAGGACTCACTCAATTCCACAATGAATATGTCCCTATGGAGAGCAATTTCACATTTTTGTTCATAATAGCATGAGACTCCTGTCACCTTTTTTACCTTGAAGTCTCCAGTCACATACAAATGAACATATTTAGCTTAAGGCTACGAAGAAACCAATTCATTGTACCTAAATGATTATATAGTTGGTGAAATGTACTCTTTCCTAAATAAGCCCAAGTAAGTTGAAGCATTTGAAAAATTATTTTTGTTATTTTATGCACCTGAGTATTAAACTTGGGGTGGGAAACAGGTTTCCTTTTAAGAGCTGGACTCTAATTAATTGGCAGTGTTACTCAGAGAGAGGTGGAAAACATCTCAGCCTCATCAGACTCCAGCTTGGGTTACTAAGTGATGACTGTCATTTTCCGAGAAGGGATGTTCATTCCTTAATTTTAACTTTAAAATTCAAATACTGAAATTAATTTATAGAAGTTTAAAATTCAGGTGCAACACAGGTATCAGATGACTTGCCAGTTTCCACTTAAAAGGTCTAACTTAACTGGGACTTAAGAATTCAGACACACCAAAAAAAAAAACCCTATTCATTTTTAATTGCTGATTAGATTTTCAGATGTATCCTAAAAAGGGAACTAAAGAACTATAAAACCAATTAGCTTGGCAGCATTAATTCACTCAGCACAGATTTATGGATGATCTAATATGTACTAGGCACTGTTCTTACCACTGGAAATATAAAAATGGACAAGACACACAAGGTCCCTGTTTTTATGGAGCTTTTGTTTCTGTAACAGAAGACAGAAAATAAAAAATCTGTCCATCACAAACACAAAACACAAAAAGAAAAATACCAGATAGAGCAATAAAAGAAGGGGAGTGAGAGAAGACCTGCTCAGAGAGAAAAGCCTCTCTGAGCAGGTGACCATTAAGCTGGGCTCTAAATGTCAAGAAGGGGTCACTCTTGAGATGATTAGGCCAGTGACATTCCAGACAGAAGAAACAGCGCAAAAGGCCTCAGGTGACATGGTGGGTAAGGGCAAAAGTGGCTGGAGATGCAAGCTGGGCCAGATCATGTAGGAATTTATAGACTATGGTATGGAAGTCTGGATCTCACCTTAGGTTCTATTTGAAACTTTACAGCAGAGAAGCAACATGATCCAATGTACTTTTTTAAACCTTTTTATTTTGCAATAATTTTAAGCTTATAGAAAAACTGTAAATAGAATACAGTTCTGTATACCCTTCTTCAGCTTCCCCTAACATTAGCATCTTACATAACCATGGTACAGTTATCAAAACTAGGAAATTAACATTGGTATAGTACACTTAACTAAACCATAACCTTATTTGATTTTTATCAGTTTTCTCATTAATGTCCCTTTTCTTCTAAGATCGAATGCAGGATCCGACGTTAAGTTGTCAGGATTCCTTAGTCTCCTTCGATCTGTGACAGTTTCTCAGCCTGTCCTGTCTTTCATGACCTTTGTGCCCTTTAAGAGTACTGGTTAGGTATTGTGCAGAATGTCCCTCAATTTGGGTTTGTCTTATTTCTCACAATTAGACTGGGGTGACAGATTTTGGGGAGGGAAACCACAGAGGTGAAGTGGCCTTCTTAAGTGATGATATCAGGACCACATGATACCAACACACATTATCACTAGTGATGTCAATCTCGATCACTTAATTCAGGTGGTGTCTAATGAGTTACTCCACGGTAAAATTATGATTTCCTCCTTTCGTAATTATTTAAAATCTTGGAGGGAAATACATGATGCTATGCAAATGCCCAGTTTCTCCTCAAACTTCCGTTCACTGATTGTGCCATCTTCCAGTGAACCTTGCCTGCTACAATTCTTACTGTGGTATTTGCCTAATGGAGATTTTATGGTTCCCTCATTCTTTCTATATTTATTAACCAGTTACTTTATAAGAAAGAGTTTCTTCTTCCCTGTTTGTCTATTTCCACACTGACTTAATGGATATTTACTTTACTTCATGGGTTATAATCCAATACTATTGTTATTTATTTTGTTTTTCAAATTGTCCTAGCTTATCACTGGGAGCTCTTTGTGGTGTAGACAGTGGGCTGGGGGTGGGAGGGCAGGGTGCAGGGAGATCATTCAGGAAGCTGATATAGCAAATCAAGTAAGAGAGTGATGATAGTGGCATGAACTAAGGTAGTGACAGTAGAAAGGGAGAGAGGAAGACTCTGAAACCTGTTCAGGAGACAAAACGGACTACCATTTAAGACTAACTAGATGTGGGACAGAGAAATGGTGGGGGTATGTGTCATGTGTCTTGATTTCCTCAGAACTCAAGACTATGGAGTTATAGCCCTGGAGAAGTCTTATCTCAAACACTTAGTAAACAGTAACATAGAAAATTTATGAAATTCTGCCTCTAAGTCCTAGCACTTTGTACTTCCCCACAATAGTCTTAACAAAGACTAATGAAGGAAAATTACAAATTGTTACTTTGTGATTATTGGAAAGAGATGTAGCAGCAGTCAGAAACAAAAAAATTTCCTATCTTCCTGCTCAGAAGTACAGAAATTATACTATTAAATCACCTACAAAAGGAAATTTTAAAACATACTAACACACAACTTGATATTTAGCATTTTAGAGATAACTGTTGGTAATAACTTTTAGGCAGAATCTTGTTCCCCAATAACCCAATATCCAACTTAAAAAATGCTCATGAAGAAGTGCTGTCAACAAAATACAGTTAATAAATTACCTGTTTGTGCTTTCTCTCTCCATTTTAAGAGGAACAAAACTGGATATGAGAGCCAAGGCAATCAAATAAAAACAATCCAAAATTTTAGAAAACCCACACATAAAACTGAGAAAACTTTTTTATAATTAGGAAAATAAATGGCCTGTACTTACCCACAGGAGGCCCAATATAAAGTTCTTTTTACAGTTACTTGCATTGAATGATAAACAACCTATGTAAAGGACTTCTGATAAAATTATTAGAGACCCCCCTCCCCACCAATTAAATAGCAAAGACAGGGGCGCCTGGGTGGCTCAGTCATTAAGTGTCTGCCTTCAGCTCAGGTCATGATCCCAGGGTCCTGGGATTGAGCCCCCCATCAGACTCCCTGCTCAGTGGGAAGCCTGCTTCTCCCCTTCCCACTTCCCCTGCTTGTGTTCCCTCTCTCTGTCAAATAAATAAATAAAATCTTTAAAAAAGAGAGAGCAAAGACAGATACTCCTAAATAGTAATTTCCTTGTCTTACTTTCTAAACATATGAAATGATATATTAAAGCAAAATATCCTATTTCTTACTGTTTATCTGATCAATATTCATACTTAGGGCATACTTACAACATATTCTCTTTTGATAGAGTACGATTGCTTTAGACAAGTCCAAACAGGTTCTCTGAATTGAATGAAACAGCTATAATAAAAATACAAACAAAATGCTAAATTATAACAGATTTGAAATAAAAAATTATTATCAGAACATAACCACAGTGTTTTATTTGCCCACTAACAACAAGATCACAAGCCTAAGTATGCTTGGTGTTATGTGGTGTTCAGTGCAGGAACTGTGACCAAAGTCTTTAAGTATGCTCCTATTTATCTATATTTATTGGAATTCATCATTTCTGTGATCTAAATTAAGATGTGCAGAACACTGATTTCCTCCAGATTATTGAAATAAGAACTGAAAAACAGAAATCCTAAATGAAGGGCCCAATTAGAAGATTTGGTAAACCAGAGACCCAATATTCATTCATAATTTATTTCTTTTACCATTTGCTGTCTTTTTTTTAAATGTAAGATCCCTCAATTAAGAATCATATTTAAAACACGACATTCGCTTATTTTGTGATTGTAATCCATTTTATGGCATGCTTAAACAATTCTATAAAGAGCAAACAAAAATCAATCATTTGAATGTTCCATTTAGAAGACATCTGGTAAAATGGAGTTTAGCTAGCAGCCCTTATCACTCCTTATTTTCCCATTGATTTCATAAGATATACAGAGAAGAAACCTAATACAATGCCAAGGCCGTAACAGAAGGAAGTACGGGAAAAGAAGGTGGGCTATACTGAGAAGAATCGAACTAGATTTTAACTTTCCTTCAAAAACCCAGACAAGCTCAAGAGAAGATCAGACATTTCACACTTTCTCCACCTTCTGTCCACCAGCCCAGAGACCACAGCTGGTAGCAGTTAGAAAACCTGGCAAATCTTCTGCCTCTGAAGAGCCACCTAATGAGGCAGAGTAAGGCTTTCCCTCTCTCTCTCTTTTAGCTTATTGGCCAGGTGATGAAGCACTTCACTATTTGAGTTAAAACAGATGATCTGTTTCATAACAAATATGACCAATTATCTAATAAAAATAGATGTATGCATATATACTTGAAATATTAAAAAACATTCCCAGAAATGCTTAATACAATAAAATTTGGTCATGAAGAATATAAATTTTGCTAAATCTCATTTCATTACTCTGTATTTTCTACCTGTTTAGAAAAGAGAAAGAAAAAAAAGAGAACAGAAACAGAAAATCAGCAGTCTGAATTTCTTCCTTAACAAATGCTTGACATCAGGATTATGGGTCACAAACCACCAACACATAGCAATTCCTGAATATAGGATCAAGGGAGTTCAAAAAGTATGTTCAGGAGCTGTTCTGTCATCACTGTTCATTTTTAAAAACTGAGGTGTAAATGAAAGGCAATAAAATGCACACCTCTGGAATGTTCTGTTCTACAGGTCTGCAACTGCATACACTCTTGCAACCACACCTGAACTAAGAAACCACTGACCGGCGACTCATCTATGGCCCCTCCTAAAAGACCTGCCTGTCATCACAGGTTAGCTTTGTCTCTTCTTGTACTTAAGAGCTGTTTTTGAGAAAACGATTTTATTAACAACCAATTTTGACACATAGTTAAACTTAGTGCAACGTTTCTATATTAACTTCCCAACAGATTATAGTAGAATCTGACCGTCATTATAACTTGGCACAGAAACTTGCCCTGTGCTAGCAAACCAAAAGCTCTTGTTTCATAAGCTAGCCTTTTGTGGATAACTTAGGGTAAGAACACATCAAAATGCTTTGCACGTCTTTTACATGTTTTATGGATGAAATCCATGCTCTCCATAAGCACCAACACAAGTTTAAACATTTCTGCAACAGAAACCTCATCCATGTAACATTACCAGTCACAGCTAATTACTTTAGATATTATGTGCCTAGGACAGCGGCTATTTTGATTAAAGTACAGTTGGCTCAGTAAAAATGCTGCAAGAGCCTAAGCATAAATATAAAATTACTGTATTGTGTGTAATGAAGTAATAATTACATGTTAAATTCCTTTCTGAATAATGCCTGTATTTGCTACATTGTTGAAAAAAAATAAAGGTACGAGACATGAAAAGCAATATGCGACGTATAATCATTTCAATTGTATAAAGAACACTAAAATCAGAACCGATGCCTCCTGGTGCCACGTTTCTCCCTGTAGCCATCTCCATTAGAACATCTCTATGAAACCCAGCTTCAATTTGAACAATTCCATTGGCAGGGGAAAGGGTTGGGAATGAACATTAATTGCATTAACATGTACACTGATTCAGTTACTATTTACTGAATGGGTACTGTGTGTCTGCTGATGGTATTATGGTGAATAAGGCTGATATGGATCTCTTAGTGGAGGGAGGGTAGACAAACACATAAACACGAGATGTACATACTATGAATAGGGACCCTGGGTCTGGTTCTCCCTCCAGATGCATAGGATGAATTATCCTTCATCCAAATGACAGGCCTTTCTATGCAATCAACAGCTAATATAGCTCCCTTAAACATCTCTGTTCCAGTATAACCATGGTTTCTACCATCCTGGGCACCCTTCTCAGAAAGTTTTTTTGAAATCCTGAGCTTTTTACTGTAATCATGTGTTCAAGCTCATTAACTTTATCTGATATGTTAAATTTAGAGATCATTTTGAATTCTTATCAGTATTTCTCATGGAAGTGATGAGTATGCTTTTTAAATTTTAATCTAAAGTACTGGCAGAATGTCCTGCAAGACAGGGGATTAGTGGGCCTTCTACCAGTTATGTTAGTATTTGGGAATCAACCAGATAGGAATTCAGCTTACTGTATTATTAACTAGTCTAACTAAATATCTGCTCAGTTAATTCATTCTAGAATTTTTCAGGGTTCAATACCAAGTTTATGAGACTCTAATTTCCAGGATCTTTTGTTGTTGTCTTTTCCTCTTTTTTTAAAATGTAAGCATTAGCCTGACCCTAGTGTTGATATCATGTGCAGTGGCTCTTTGGTTGCATTAATTTTTTTCAACAAACAACAAACATTTATTGAGTTTACCACATGCAATGCACTAAGGTGCTTGAAAAACAAATTAACTGAGGCATGCTGGTAGTTACACGAGAATTTGTAGGTTTTTAAAAAATATGCTCGGATTGAATTTACCTCATCTTAGATTTTTTTCCTCATGAACTAGTTGTTTGCAGCATGTTTTCAAATATAAAGCACAACTAAGCTTGTCCAAGTCTGTACACTCTAGGACTGTGACCCTAGTGAGGGGGCTGTGCTGGGACTGAGAATAAGAACAGCTCACCTCCAGCTTGGCATCCAGGTCTGCATCAGAGGCAACGACATGCTCATCTTCCTTCTTCCCTGTGGCTTTAATAAAGGCCTGCTTCGTTTCCCAATACTTCTGCTGCATCTTATTTACTACTGACTTATCTTGAGTATATCGATCCTGTAAGTCCCAGGGATAACTGCTAAAAAACACATTTAAAGAAGTATTTTATTCATGACTTTCATAAAAATGAAGCTATTTTAGTGTTAACAAATTTATCTAAACATTATATTACACAACATTCATAAACATACTTTTTTTTTTTTTAAAGATTTATTCATTTGACTGAGAGAGAGAGTATGAGCACGGGCAAGCAGCAGGGAGAGAAACAGATTCCCTCCTGAGCAGGGAGCCTGGTGTGGGGCTCGATGCCAGGACTCTAGGATCATGATCTGAGCTGAAGGCAGACGCTTAACGACTGAGCCACCTAGGCGCCGCCATAAACATACTTTCTTGTGTGATTATTACACCAAAAAAATTAACCAACTCTAATATACTCTGAAACCTTAAAAGTTAGTGAGGAAATCAAGAAGCTTTTGCAGGAAATCAAGAAACTAAACCTTGAAGAGTTTAGCTCTCAGCATGTTGGACATACTCCTTTTCCAAGTAGAGAAAGTGAGGCCTAAGCAGGCAGGGTGTCTGGCTCAAGAAGCCCAGTGAGTCAGCGAAAAAGCTGGACACCTACGTTCTCTCCACTCCAGTGTTATGGCCAACACTGAAGTGACAGCAGAAAAGTAGAGATAAGGCGGTGAAAAATAGCACATTTAAAATCTGTCCTAGAGGTACCTAAAACAGTCAAACTCAGAATCAGAGAGTAGAATAGTGGTTACCAGAGGCTGGATGGGGTGAGAGGGAAATGGGAAACTCTTAATGAAGGGGTGTAAGGTCTCAATGATGCACGGTGAGTAAATTCTAGAGATCTGCTCTTCAACACTGCACCTGTAGTTAATAATACCGTAGTATACACTTAAAAATTTGTTAAAATGCAAATCTCATGTTAAATAGTCTTAACCACAGTCAAATGAAATTTAACAAAATGTTTTTTTGAAAAATCTGTTAATGACTTCTGATATTAAAACCTTAAATTCTTGGGGCGCCTGGGTGGCTCAGTCATTAAGCGTCTGCCTTCAGCTCAGGTCATGATCCCAGGGTCCTGGGATCGAGTCCCGCATCCGGCTCCCAGCTCATCGGGGAGTCTGCTTCTCCCTCTCTCTCTCCCTCTGCCTCTGCCCCTGTGCATGCTTTCTTTCTCTCAAATAAATAAATAAAATCTTTTTTTAAAAAAAGTATGTAAGAAAGAAATTAGAAAAAAATTGAGAATGAAATAGAATTTCTCTAAAAGACCACAACACCTCAGATATTGACAGAAATGTTGCCATTAGTGCTCCATCCCTCCCCACGTTGTCTACGCCCTCCTCTGGTCTAGAGTCCCTGTTTGTTTTGTTTTGTTTTTTTAAGGTTTTATTTGAGAGAGAGAGAGTGAGCACAAAAGCAGGAGGGAGGGAGGAACAGAGGGAGAGGGAGCCCGATGTGGGACTTGATCTCCGGACCCTGAGATCATGACCTGAGCCGAAGGCAGACACTTAACCCACTGAGCCACCCAGGTGCCCTTAGAGTTCCTGTTTCATATGTCCACACAGGACCCCTGGTTTCTCCTCTCTGCAGACATGTGCCTTCTTTCACTCCACGCTATCACCACTCAAAATGTGCCAGACCTGAGTCCTAAAATACAAGTTGCTTTATACCACTATTTAAAAATACCTGTTCCTTGAAACTTGATGATTTATACTCTCCTTCCAGATAACATTTACAATTTTCAAACCAGACATTTATTCCTTTTTTTTTTTTTTTTAAGATTTTATTTATTTATTTGACAGACACAGCAAGAGAGGGAACACAAGCAGGGGGAGTGGGAGAGGGAGAAGCAGGCTCCCCACTGATCAGGGAGCCTGATGCGGGACTCGATCCCAGGATCCCGGGATCATGACCTGAGCTGAAGGCAGATGCTTAACGACTGAGCCACGCAGGCGCCCCCCCCGACATTTATTCTTAAAAAGTCAGAAGGGGTTTCAAATAACTTCTTTACAAAGGCTATCATTAGAGAAGTAGGATTTGGGGGACTTTCATAGTTTCTGCATTATTTAAAAGTTGTTTTTTTTTTTTTTTTTAAAGATTTTATTTATTTGACGGCAAGAGAGGGAACACAAGCAGGGGGAGTGGGAGAGGGAGAAGCAGGCTTCCCGCGGAGCAGGGAGCCCGATGTGGGACTCGATCCCAGGACCCTGGGATCATGACCCGAGCTGAAGGCAGACGCTTAACGACTGAGCCACCCAGGTGCCCCTAAAAGTTTTTTTTTTATGTGTATAGACTTGTCAAATCACTATGCTGTACACCTGAAACTTAACATAACATTGTGTGTCCGCTATACTTTAATTTAAAAAAAAAGTTCTACTATGAGCTCACTGAGGGAAAATAAGTGGAAAAAACATAACTTTTATGTAAAAGATAGAGTCTCTCTACATAATATGTGTATAAAAAGATTGGAAGGATATACCCTCCAAAACTGGTTATTTCAAGGAAATAGAATTTTTAGAAATGGGGAATAGGGTGGACTTCTTTGTATTGTATTTTTAATTTATTTACTTATTTTTGGTGAAAGGTCATGGATGAACAGAAAAAAAATTCCATTTTGGAAAAAAAACCCAAAAACAAAAAACAAAGGGACTTCAGAGATCTGGTGAATACCCCTCACCTTTGTCATTTAACAAATGAGGTATATTAGGTTTCAAAAGCTTAAGAGGGGCGCCTGGGTGGCTCAGCCAGTTAAGCGTCTGCCTTCGGCCCAGGTCATGATCCCAGGGTCCTGGGATCGAGCCCCGCATCGGGCTCTCTGCTCGGCCGGGAGCCTGCTTCTCCCTCTCCCACTCCCCCTGCTTGTGTTCCCTCTCTCACTGTGTCTCTCTGTCAAATAAATAAATAAAATCTTTAAAAAAAAAAAAAGCTTAAGAATTCTGCCCAAAGTCACACAGAATTAAAATCCAGGCCACTTAACCCCAGTCCAGTGCTCATTTCCATGTTCTCTACAGCCCCTGCATTTCAGCAGCAAGCAATGAAGTGGCAGAGTGAGAGACAGACTTTGGGGAAGGGCCCACTTCTCAGGGCTCTCCCGGCTCTCTTAGATGGGTGAGTACCTACTTCCGTGGCCTGCTGCCAGGGTGTGACAGCCATTATGAGGCTCACAGGATGGAGTCACCCCTTTGTCTTAATGAGGCAAGATGGAATAATTACGAGAAGAGTCTGACAACTCTTAGATGGCTGTCAAATGGGGATACTCAGGGAAACTAAATCCCTCAGCCATTTATTAATTACCTTTTAAAATTCATTATATTTTAAGACATGCAAAAATTCTCTTAAAGGTTGACATTTGATATTACAGAGGTCTTGGGTCTGATTACTTCTTTACTGAGAGAGGAGGGATTAGCAAGTATATTCCTTATTATAATTAATTGTACATTTGAAACATGAAAATATACATCACATTTTTTCATGCTACGAATTAGAGATGACACATGACAAAGATCTGCTTGCCTGGTGGGTCATGGGTTCAAAGGGTTCAGAAACACTGCGTGAGGCAGACCCGGAATTTATAAGAAGTTTAACAGGCATGTAAATGACAGTGCTGAACACTGCCATGATTACCACATTTTATTCAGCAGCAGCATCTTCCGACCATGATTGCCTCCTGAGTGTTCATGAAGGTTAAAGTCACAGCTATAAATTAATGAGTCTGAGTTTGTGTTCACTCATTATTTTATAGCTGCTGTAGAGCAAGTTCCCTGATAACACTAATAAGTTGTAAATAAAATAGCGCTAAAAATATATATATATTGGCTTGTTACATTTGAAAAACTGGTGCTAAGAAAAGCCATTAGATTTTCAGGAGAAAAACTGTATATAAATTAGTTTCTTAGAGAATATATATTACATAAGAACTTATAATATGTTTGATTATTTGGTTTCCATATTTCACTCAGAAGGGATGTTGAACTTAACTATACCCCATATTGGATAGGGGCTAACAGATTATTTACTGCTAATGTGACTCTTGATTTTTCTATTCGACATTTATTGAGCATATACTATGTACCTTCCTCTTTCATTAGCCTCTCCCACTTTAGAAAAGACAACACGTTACTTACCATTTGTGTCCTGACATGTTTTCTTCTTCTTCTTTCTCTACTGTTGATGATTTGGGGAGAAGGGGCAGGGAAAAAGCATGAGAGGATAAGTTATATTATAACCTGAAATAAAACAAATATGTTTAACAGTTAACACACTATATTATATGTTAATTTGACACATATAAAATTTTTCAATCTGAGCCATTTCTAATTGTATTTTAGGAGCCAAACACTATTACACAGTTACACTGTACACGGGTGTTGAGAATAATGTAACACTGGAAGAAATATTCCAAATGAAGTGTAAGAAGCAAACAGGCAGATTGAGAAAAGCAGGTTGCAGAAGACTAGATAAAATATGAGACCACAAAATGTAAAACAATGCTATATATTGCTGAAACATACACCTATCATATCATAAAGGTATAAAAATTGCCTAGGAATGATGAACACTAAATTCCAGATTGCAGTTACTACTGCAGAAGAGGGCTGGGGGATATTCACACAGGAGCTTCAACTGTACTCATAATGTTCTCTTTGTTAAGCTTGGTGGTGAGTAGACTGCATCTGTCTGCCTCTTTATAGATTTGAAATATTTTATAAACGTGCTCACTTTGGCAGCATATGTATAAAATTGAAACAATATAGAGATTAGCACAAGAAACCCCAAACCAGGAAACCCCACCCAAACAACCATCCACCCAAGGGAAATGGAAGGCAAGAAATACAAAGGATCATTGTTAATTGTAGAGTTGGCAGTGGTGGGCGGGGCAGCCGTGGGGGTACAGACTTGCTGGTGCTTCTTAATCTGTTCTGGGTCCCAGGAAGGGGACAAAAGTGGGTTCTCAGTGATTAAGACTTGATCCTGTGGTTGGCCTTTGGCCATGCTGCTGCCTGGGGCCCCTCCCAGGGACTGCCCCTTAGCCCAAGCTGCCCTTGGTAGGTGGGCTCTGGCACAGAGAGCTGCACTAGCTGAGGTTCCCCATCAGTGACCAGGAGGGACATTGGGGAATTACCACAACCCGTTTAGTATGAGGGTATTGGCCTAGCCACAGGTAAACTCCTTGCCCTGATCTCTTCCCCACACCCAGGAAAAGAGCTCTCAATTTTTTTATTTTTAACTTTTGTTTGAAATAAAGTCCTTAGTTAGCCAGAAAAGAAAACACAATAAATATTTCACAATCAATATTTCTAAAACATGAGCCAATGAGCCAGCACACTGAAAACAAAACACACACACACACACACACACACACGAGACAAAAGGCTAAAACGAGATACTAGGAAGGGCTAAAAGGAGGAAAATGTGATTATTTCAGTTTTTACCAGCCTAGCATTGTATTTTCACCTCATCGGCAAATATGGGAGTAACTTCAGGCCATTGTCTTTCACTCCCTTTGCCCTCTCAGGAAAGCCAGCCAACCTCACGGGTAGAGCAAACCAACCCAAACATACTTGCCTACCAGTTTCTGGAAAGACTGGAGAGCTTGCTACTTAAAGGAATGGCCTCAGACACAGAAAGCTGGCTGCCAGAGTGAATGTTTCTGGGTACTCCACAAAACCAATCCAGTTGTTCTTCCTCTACACAAGAAAGGGTCCTGGCAATCAGTACCCTTAAAATGACTAAAAATTTCTTAAGGGTTTATTTTTACCATTTTTAAAATGTTAAAAAGCTTTTTAAAATTGTTTTAAGGGAACTAAATGAAAGTGCTAAAATTCCAGGTCTCAAGTGTGGGGACAGGAGGGAGGAAGGACGACATTTTCTCGGGAGTGTCCGGATTGCCTCTGAAATGACCACATCCAGTCATCAGCATCTCTCTGCCTCCTGGAGGGCTTCCAAGCTTGTGGACAAGCCTGCTTTGGGACTGACATTCATGATGAGTAAACCCTGTCCTCTTCTCAGTAAATCACAGAGGCCACCAACTTCTAGTCCTCTCAACACCCACACAGCTTCCCTGCAAGTACACATTTACTTGATTTACCTCAAAGCTTCTGAAAAAATTTCTCATGAAAAGATACTGTTCAAGGAAACAAATTATACTCTTTCCTTGAGTCCAATTTCACCACAACCTATTAGGATAGTTGATACTTTTTGAATAATTTTTAATTGTGGTAAAAACCATGTAAGTGTATCCTTTAATAATTTTTAAGTGTACAGTACAGTATTGTTAACTATACACGCATTGTTATATAACAGATCTCCAGAACTTTTTCATCTTGCATTGCTGAAACTCTGAATCCATCGAACGACTCATTTCCTCCATCCCCAAACCACTGGCAACCATCATTCTTCCTATGAGTTCGACTATCTTAGATACTTCATATAAGTGAAATTATACAGTATTTGTCTTTACTGTGATTGGTTTATTTTACTAAGCATGATATTGTCAAAGTTCTGTAACCTATGACAGGTTTTCCTTCTTTTTAAAGGTGGAATAATATTCCATTTTATATATAAACCGTATTTTCTTTATCCATCCATCCACTGACGGACATTTAGCTTGCTTCCACATCCTGGCTATGAATAATGTTGCAATGAACATGGGTGTACAAATATCTTTTGAGATCCAGGGCTTTTATTATGTATATACCAGAAGTAGGATTGCTAGATCATAGGGTAGTTCTATTTTTGATTTTTTGAGGAACCTCCATACTTTTTTCCAGAGTGACTGCACCATTTTAAAATCCTACCAACAGTGTTCCAAGGGTTTCATTTTTTTCCACATTCTCCCCAACACTTGTTACTTTCCTTTTATTCCTTCTTCTTCTTCTTCTTTTTTTTTTTTTTTGATAGCAGCCATCCTAATGGATATGAAGTGATATCTCATTGTGGTTTTCATTTCCATTTCCCTGATCACTAGTGATGTTGAACATCTTTTCACATGCTTACTATCCATATCTTCTTTGGAGAAATGTCTATTCAAGTCCTTTGCCTATTTTTCAATTGGGCAATTTTTTTTGTTATTGCATTATAGGTAGGAATCCTTTATATATTCTGGATATTAACCCTTTATCTATGGTATGCAGATACTTTCTCCCATTCAGTAGTTTGCTTTTTCACTGTTGTTTCCTTTCCTGCAACTTTTTGATTAATTTTTTTATTATTAAAGTATTTAACAATTTAAGTTCTTTGTAATGTAATAATAGATAATAAAAATCACTGAGCAAACTGCCCTTTCTACCTGGACTTCTAAGCTATTTCTAGATTATGATGCCAGTGTTCCTCAAGGTATTGTTTAGAGGTCACTTACACTGGAATCTTCTGGGATGTCAACAGGCAGATTCCTGGGCCCCATTCCTTTACCTAATGATCGAAAATCTCTGAGCATGGGTGTCTGGTAATCTGCATTTGTAATAGGCTTTGCAAATGCTTCTGAAGCACATTAAGTTAGAATACCACAGCTATATGGCATCTAGGAAAAATCCTTTCTGGAAATGGATCTTAAACAAACTGCTGGATTATAATATGGAACTTTAGTAAAGGAATCACTGGTGGCAAAATCAGGTCAACTCTATAGGGCATAGCTGAATATTTCGTGAGAAGGCAGCTGCAGTTATTAGGACTACAGGAGAAGGCATCTCCTGACTAGGACTCACATCTCCAGCTCCATACACCAGGAACAACTGACAAACATTTTAAGATTTCTTCACAAAATTCATCTTCTCTTGCTCTACCACTTTCTAAATTCACAGGGTCAAAATCACTACTTTAAAAAAAAAAAAAACATAAGTCTCATCTATTCACTCATTTCAGTTCATCAGTTTGGTTGCACTGAGCATGCACTGAGCATCTAGTTAATATGCACTAGGCACTGTCTAGCCCCAAGTAACTTATAGTCTAAATCAGCTCTGTCCAACAGAAATACACTATAAGCTACATATGTAATTTTAAATGACTAAATAGCAACGCTAAAAAAGTAAAAATAGTAAAAAAATTTTAAAACAATATATTTTATTTAACCCAATATATCTAAGATATTATTTCAACATGTAATAAAAAAGTTACTGATTTATTTTCCATTCATATTTTTGCACTAAGTCTAAAATCTGGTGTGTATTTTATGCTTACAGTACACCTCAATTGAGACTAGCCACATTAAGTGGTTAATGGCCATGTGTGGTTAGTGGCTACAGTAATGGACAATGCAGGTTAAGCAGGGAAGACAGACATAATAAACATAATTTTCGGATCCAAGAGACTGTTGATATTTGCAAGGGACATATAAAAAGATCTCTGTGAATCCCCAAATTTGTAAAATCTGCTGTTAGAAAAGTCATTTCCCCTATAAAATACAATAAAGTCTATAATTAGCTAATACTTCAATTCGTGATTCTGCAAAGGAGGCTTTATCTCCATTTCTGCCACAAGACACTTATGAAAGAAGCCCAAAATGAATGCTATCATGTCTTGAGCATTTTAATAGCTCAGAGAAGACTTCCTAAAGTTCTGTTTTGTGGCCACAATACTCTGGGAGATAAGCAAAGAACAAGCACCAAGCTGCTTATAGACTTGCCATGACATGAGTGCCATGAAAGGAAAAAAAAAAAAAAAAAGGCACCAAAACTGTTAAATTCAGCATGACTTGACCACATGAATGTCTCTGTTTCACTAAATTGTCTCTCCAAGGGAGACAAAGCAGATTAGCCAATAAGAATTAAGACCTTCTCAAAGAAGTAGTGTCCCAAGAGTTAGTTAACAGATCAATAGAAAGCAAGTTCTAGAGTGTCTGGCTGGCTCACTGAGTGTAGCATGTTACTTCTTGATCTTGGGGTCATGAGTCCAAGTCCCACATTGGGCACAGAACTTATTAAACACACACACACACACACGATTCCTAATTTTGATGTAACAATCCTGAGGGTGAGGGGATGGGTTAGTAAGGAGTGGCCTCCGTATCTAAGACAAGTGCTAAAGGGGAAAGAGGTACTACCAACTTAATCTTCCTAGGCTTTGCCAGGCTGCACCCTGAAGGGGACGCAGTACACCCACCTCAGGCACCAAGGCCAGGCAGTAAGAGCACAGCTGTTCTCAGCCACACCTATGTGGCTGACAGGCCATTCTGCCTTGTGGGGAGAGCTGAGGGAATAGGCATGAGGGGTACTTTGTTCAGTGTTTGTACTGGGGTTCTGTGAAATAATTATGCTTATTTTTCTTCTTTGCTTTTCTTACAGCTTGCTGTGGTGTAGCTTCAATTTTATTCACCCATGTGGACAGACTACAACTCGTTTTTTATTTCCTATAACCACTGAAAAAGCCATTTGGAACACACTGGATGGTTAATATATAAGCCAAAATTTTTTCGTAAACACTCCAAGGTTCCTAGAGTGCTAAAGCAAGCCTGGTTTAAACAAAGTTTTATGCATCGCTGCAAAGAAGAGGAGTTGGTATGTCCTCAGATGCCTTAAACCCTGATACTAGATTCTCCTCCTTGGAAATACAACACGGGGAAGTATTTTCATTCCACATAGGCTGGCTTCAGCTACACTGAACATTTGTTCTGGCCCAGAACCCTTTTCTATGAGCTTATGGAGTTAGCTGATGGCACCTTCAATTACATTTGAATTATGCAAAGAATTTAAAATTCTTGAGCCAACCCTTACTCAGAGTAAAGGTAAGATAGTTACATTTACTCTCAATCCACAAAAATATTTCAATAAACTTTCTCTTGAATCACATTTTCCAAGTCCGTTGTGTATCTTGTGCAGTTTTAGGTCTCAAATTAATTACCTTTCCAATTTAGCAGATGTTCTCTTCCACCGGTGAGCAGCTTTTCTATTAGATGGAGTACTAGCTGAGACTGAGTCCAGAATCCCTTTTCCCTGTATCTGCACTGAACATATGGTGGATTTTCTTGAATTGCAGATCTGAGCCACTGCCAAATTTGTCATTTTTCTAACTTACTCAAAATTCCCATTTTCCAACTAAAAATTGTCACTATCTTAGAGCTCTTCGGCACTGCTGTGCAGACCAGCATTTAGCTTTCTTTGGGAAGTGGGCCATTTTTTCCCCATAAGAAACACACTTTTCAAGTGATGTGGGTACAAAGTGGTACATTTGAATCGTACATTTGAATCATCCCAGAGTAAAATCACTCATTACCAAACACCCAGCTTCATGGCACCACACATCACTGAACAAGTGCAAACTTGTTCACACCCCAACATTCCTGAAGCTGGGATGTGTCCTGCAATTGATACCCTTGTTAACTGTCTGGCAGTCCCTTTTCTTTCTTCACAGAACATAAAATGGTAAAAAGGTCTTATGAACGATGGTTTCTTACTTTTGATGACGTAAAGAATAATTATTTAAAATTAAACTTCAGCAAAAACATATCACTACATGCTACAGACTTTGGGGGCTATTTGTGTATAACTGAAAAGGAGACTCCGAAGTCAGGGAGTGGCAGGTTTGCCTGTGATATGGAATGAGTACCATGAGGAAGGTGCCCAGGGCTCGAGGAAAAGAGAGGGGAAGACCCCAAGCCGGCTTCCTACGTGGCCTCTGGGCAGAGTTTCTAAGCATCAGCAGAGGTTGGCCAGGTGAAGGGTAAGAGTGGGGGCAGTGGAGGGGGACCATGTGGGTGACTGCTGGTAATTATTCCAGACAGAGAGAAAGCAATGAACACATTCTTGCACAGCAGAACTGCATGGGGTGTGCATGCCACCAACCAATAAGCAGTTGTGCATTCCTAGAACTTAAAGAAAGAGGAGCTGTGACTGAATAGACATACGGACCAATCTCTGAGGCCACCTGCTTTCCCTTTCAGCATTTAGATATATTCTGTAGCCACTGGAGGGTAGACACTCAATGTTGTTTATTTCATATTTACTGAGCACCTTCTATGTCCTGTCTTTGCTAGAGAGTTCATCTTTGACTATCCATAACAAATGTTGGAAGCCTGTGGCATGTCTCTTGAATTTAGCTTCCAACTATACAATCTGAAGTACATAATTTTCTGCCAGTTAGTTATATCTTCCCGTTTTTCAGAGATTGACTTTATCTAGAAATGTTACCAGTGTTCAATATCTTGTTTTGTCCTTGGGTTTATTTCTCTGGTGCAGTCTTAGAACTAAGATAAGTCATATAATTTAGAGCCTAGAAGGAGTTGAGAAACAATCGAATAAAGCCCCTTTCTTGCATAACATATAGAACTGTCAAATCACTCTGTTACCCACCTGAAAATAATAACACTATACATCAATTACACTTCCATAAAAATTAAAACAAATAGATTATTAAAGAAATAAAAAATAAGTTAAATAACATGGGGACCTGTGATCCAGGGAGGTGACTAACGGGTCTGAGAGAACAAAGCCAAGTAGCTTCAGAGCCAGGGCGTCAATGCAGGCTCCTGATGGCTTGCCTAATGAACAGAAGAAATACAAATCCGTCAGAGGTTCTAGGTACTGAGTTAAAAAATAACTTAATGTTTGTACATTTCTTTTGCTCCAAGTTATTTTTCATCTTTTTTCCCAGAGGTTTATCTTTGGTCACTTTCTCTTATGTTAATAATGATTTTTATAATTTCCCATGAAGAGAAGGAAGTGTGTTTTAAGTATAAATGTCAAAAGAGTTTAGTAGAAATGGAGAAAAACAATTCCTCCATACGTAATTAACTATACATATATTTTTAAAACTGATTCTTCAAATTACATAGTTGACAAATTCCTACAGACGGTGGGAAGTTGAAGTAGTCTTCCATCCTTTCAAAAGCTAAATATTAATTAAAGTAATATCATTTTGGGGCACCTGGCTGGCTCAGTCGGTAGAGCATGCAACTCTTGATTTCAGGGTTGTGAGTCTGAGTCCCACATTGGGTGTAGTTTATTTAATAAAAAAATATTTAAGAAGTAATGAAATTTTGGCTAGCTTTTATGGGTGTTTTTCCTATCACTCAGATATCACATAGCTTTTCTATTCAGATTTTGATAAAGTTATGATTACTTGAGCATTCCATGTAACTTTATATGGATTCTATTTCTAGCAGAATTTTGTATCTCCCGCAAGTGACTTTTTTCCCTGCAAATTATTTTTGACATTTCATAAATTAACAAGTAAAACACAATCACATCCCTCAATTTTGTGAGTCAGCAAATCTTATAAAAGGAAAACAATTCTAACCTTATTCAAGGCTATTAAAAGATGAGTTTTTGTTTAAACCCTACATGTGCAAATCATTGCTAAAATTTGCATTTTCTGTTAATGAGTTGGAATCTTAGGATATTTTTATATGATCATTTCATTCACATTTCAGCACAGCTCAGGTACTACCTATAGGCATTAATCAAGCTTAATGCTTCCCTAAACCTACTAAAATCACATTCTTACACTAAATATTTTCAATGTCAATATAACTTATCTCCCAATATAAAATAAAAGCCAGTAAACCCATGATCATGCTACAAACTTATGCCTCCTCCATGTCATTTCATCTCTCAGGTCTCACTTTGCTTGCCTGTGAAACCGCAGATCAGGCTAGCTGACATCTAGGATGCCCTCAGTCACAAAAACTATAAAGCTTCTTTTAATTAATTTTAGAGACATTTATATCTAAGAGAAAGCTTTGAGATAATGAACACATCTTCCTTTTTAAAGATAAGGAAACTAGAGTTTAAAAATGGAGACAACTTGTCCAAGAGCAGGTTAAAGATCAAGTTCTCAATAAGGAAAGTTGGGATTAAAACACTGATCTCCAGTTAGCAACCTGGTGCTCCCCTCAGCCTCTCCATCTCAAGAGGTGTTTCTCAAAGGAACATGTCCAACACAGCATTTCATATTCTAAGAAATGGGGAAAAAAAAGTCAAGATACTCTCTAAAAGGTTATCATCCTCACCATTATTATCAGTTAAAAATATTACGTCCCCAGGGGTGCCTGGGTGGCTCAGTCGGTTAAGCACCTGCCTTCAGCTCAGGTCATGATCCCAGCGTCCTGGGATTGAGCCCCGCATCGGGCTCCCTGCTCAGTGGGGAGACTGCTTCTTCCTCTCCCACTGCTGCTCCCCCTGCTTGTACTCTCTCTCTCTGTCAAATAAATAAGTAAAATATTTCAAAAAAAAATTACATCCCCACAAAAACAAACTAAAAACAAAATAAAGAACAAAAAATTCAAATGGCTCAGAAGGGGCATGGGCTAGGTCTTGTTGTTCTTTCTCTTAAAGCCCTGCTTGCAAAGGACAGTTGATGGTGAATTTTGTGCTACAACAAAAATCGTAGCAGCAATAACAAAGAGGCTGGCATTTGAAAACAAAAAACCTCAAAGAAATCCACAAGAGCAAATAACATAAAATGGATTAAAATACTGGGAACAGAAAAAGAATAAATAGGCTGTCTTTGTTAAAGAAAAGATTAAAAAAAAACCCTTGCTTATAAATTATATTCACCTTTGATTTTATTTAGGTTGGTTTATATAATCTCTAGTACTTATGGTGGCTTTTTCTCTAAAAGCTTACTTCAAAAGGTGAAGAAGGAATACCCTATTCAGACAAAGGTCCTAATCAACTTCTGCAAAGAAATACTATATACCCGTCAAATGCCAGCACAGAACATTATTAAATGATATGAATAAATATTTTCCTTAAATTATATTTCAAAACAGCATTTTATAATTGGAAAGCTCTTACCAATTTTAAAATTTTATGGGAGAAAAATCTGAAATAAGTTAACTTTATCATCTAACATCATGTTGCCGAAATATAATAGTCACTAGCCATTTTTGGCTATTGAGCACTTGAAATATGGCCAGTCTGAATTTAGATATGCTTTTAGTGTACACTGGATTTTGAAGACATAGTATAACCCCCCAAAAGTAAAACGTCTCATTGATAAATCTACATTTTATATTTATATTTTATATTTATAAAAAGCATATGTATTCTCTATCGACATATTTGTATATATTCATATTTTGATATATCACTGTATTATATATAAATACATATTTATACATTCTATTTTATATTTATATACTTATTTTTGTATTTTATGTTAAAATAATATTTTGGACATATTGGGTTAAATAAAATATATTACCTAATTTTACCCGTTCCCTTTTATTTTTTTAAATGTACCGACCAGTATACTTTAAATAACATATGTGGCTGCCATTATATTTTCACAGACAGCCTTGGTCTAAGGTATTAAGCAAATTAGCAAAGAGCTAGAAATTAATTTCATAACTCAGGCCACCAATATTCTGTACAGATTAAATATCTTTAAATAGTTCTTTCTCCCTAGAATCTCTGATAATTATTCTGTCAGAAATGTCATTACAAAAGTAAAATTCATACATATATATGTATATATATATATATATATACAAAGACTGTATATGTGTGTATATTGATATATATACAGACACACGTTTACAGTTTTTTTAAATGAGCTCCATATTTTCATTATACGTTGCTTTAAAAAGGTCCAAATCTATGTGCAAAATGCACTAATAGTTTCAAATCAGATTCATGGAAATAAGAAATTAATAAACTACTATAAGACCATTAAAAGAAAAAAAGACCACTAAAACTGAAAAGATAAAGACTGTTTCTCTATATACATTTATATATTCATATATAAATATATACCTACAAAGTATATATACATATTTACAAATGAAATACATTATATATAATTCATATACAAATATATGAATGGTTAATATTACAGGTGTGATGGAAGTATGTGCATATATGAAATTACGCATAAGCATAACGTCAACAATCAGAAAATTAGGGAGACACTAATGTTTACAAGGTTCTTTCTTTAACATTAAATTCGTAAGTTGAAGCACATTACAGAGATGATCAATTAATTTCTTATGCCTCCACAGGATCACTCAGAGCTAGCAGGGAATTTATAGATCATTTAGTCCAATCTCCTCTTTTCACAGGGGAAAGAACTGAGAAATGAAGACTGAAGAAAATGTCCCAAAGCAAAGAGTAAGCCTTTTTCATTAGTCTTAAATTACTGAAATACACACATACCAATAGGTAGTTTATAAAATGTCTATACTCTGCACAGGTCCTGTAAACAAACCACCACAGCTCCTTTTTCTGGAAATGGCGCATAGTCAAGGACTTTCCTTGGTAAAACTGTAGCTACTAACTCATGTTTGAGTTTGGGCTGGCTTAGCAAGGGATGAAGGCAGCCCTGGCAGGGGAGGGAGAAGCAAGAAGGGGACCTTAAAATAAAAGTCAAACAGCAAAGGGAAGCAGACAGAAAGTTCTATATTTTCATGTACCCCAACTAACAGAGACACCCTTGCCTACACTGGGTCATCTAGTTGCTGTTATTTGAGAACTAGTGAAAGATCTCTTTCCCAAATCCTCTCCACTCTCTTAGGGAAGAAGCTTACAGGATTAAATAGCAGCAACACCCAGAGTAAATAAGGCACAAGACTGGTTTTTTGATGGGGATCAGGAAAGACAGGGCCATGGGCATATACCTGGTAGGGCAGGTAGAATAGCCAGGAAGTAGTCCAAAGGGGTGCAGGTCCAAGTCAGGAGTGCAGGGAAGAGAGAAGCAGGAAGCAGAAAGGAGGGAGGGGTTTGGCACCAATGCAAAGTTTACCTACTTCACAATGATGCCCATGCTGCCTATGGCAACACTGAAGAGAGAGCATTAGGTACAAGGACACTAATCCTGGCCTTCAGGGAGCATCAGGTGGAAGAAAACTCCCCAGGGTGATGATGACCAGTCTCCCTCATTCACTGTAGGGAATCATGGCTCTTGGCATTGTGCTAGGCATCTTCTTTCATAGCTTCCACTCTTCATGCACCACTGCGCACTTCTTTGGAACTATCCAGCACCATGACTATAACTACTGTTGTTCCTTTCTTTTTGTCTGGAAGGGATGGGTCTCCCTTCCTTTCCCCTTCTCTTCCTGCTGGGATGGCTGAAGACAGAATCAGCTAGCACTGTTGACTAGTGTTCCAGAAAACAATATGGAAGCTAAATAGTTTGTATAACAGCTTCACTCTGCAGCTTTTATGGTGCTTGCTGGAGCACTTTCTCTAGGAATACTTCCTCTTGGAGTCCTGAAATGCCATGTTAGAGAGGTCATACGGAGACATTCTGGCACCATCAACAACGAGCAGTCTTTGCTGTACCTGCCCAACTATTTTCTCTTCAAGTTAATCAACCTCCCTTTCTGCCATAAGCCCGTGTTCTTCAACCTCTTTCTTCTCCCAGTTACCATCTCTTCCTTCTCTTTGCTGAGTTCTTCTAAGCCCATACAGACTGGTTCCCTTCTCCACCATGCCAGAGAAAGTTTTTCACTATGAACCCAACTCAAGTCTTCATCTTGCTTGACCTTTGACTAAGCTCCCATTCTTAAGTGCTCAGCAAACACTGCACATTTGAAGCTTTTCTAATTTCTTTGTTAGCTCCTCTTTCTCTGGGCCTACATCTCATATATCAGTGATCTGCAAGGTTCTGACCTTGGTTGTCTTCTGCTGCACTTCACTTGCCTCTCTGGGTGATTTAATCCACTCTGTGGCTTCAACCGACAGCTGTGTGCCAATGAAGTCCAGAATTAAACAGCTCTCCAGTAGGGAGATGGAAATACGGACCTGGTGCTCTGGAGAAGTGTTTAAATTCCCATCTCCCTATTGTAATCTTCACCTGGATGTCCCACAGGTACTTCAGATTCAGCACATCTAAAACAGAACCTATCTCTCCCCATCTGCATCCCCAAATCATCCCCGCCCCCCGTGGCTCCTATGTTAATCACTTGCAGAAAATCTACTGAATGGTCCCAACTAGAAACTTGACTTCTCTCTTATCTTTTATAGCCAGTCTCCAAGTTCTCTCCATTCTACCTCCTCAAAAGCTATTAAATACATCTTCTCTTTTCTATGTTGACAGCCAGGGCTTAGTCTAGGCCTCCCGAGGCAACACTATGCCTAGATCTGCCCATTCCAATCTTTCATACCATGGTCTGAACTATTACTTTAATATGCAGATCTAATCAGGCTGCCTTCCCACTCCAAATGCTTTAATTGCATTCTCTTGCCACTAGAGAAACTTCTTGGCAAAAAATCCAAATGCAAAATTCAAAATTTTGCTATACTCCACACAGAACTATTCCTTCTGGCCATTTCAGAATGTTAGAGCTTTCCTGAATATGCTATGCCAAGACTCTGTGAAGTTTCTTCCTTCCCTTGTAATGCCCTCCCCTCCTTTGTCCAATTGGCCAACTTACAGCTTACTTCAAGCCTCTCCTCAAATGTCACCACCTCAGTGAGGGCTTTCCTAACAAACACCCACCCTTCCACACCCAGAGACCTCCCATTCCTGTTTCAACTATAGTCCTTAACTGCCCCATGCAGGTGGTACCCTATACTCCCATTGCTCTCCTGCACTGAGCTAATTACATCTGCATCTCCTGCACTACACTGCAAGTCCCTTGAAGGCAGGGACCCTAACTGGTTCATCTTTGCCTCCTTACACCAAGCACAGTACCTGAAACACAGCAGGCCTTTAGTAAATATGTTCTGGACAAAAGACAATAATTATGTGCTACAATTCACTGAGCACTTTACATCTCATGTGTGGACACAGCCACCATGAAAGGGATACCACCTCATTTTGCAAGTGAGAAAAAAAAAAACTTAGAAAGGTAAAATAATTTGCCCAAAGTCAACAACTGATAAACTTAGGTCTGCTTATGACTCCCAGCTCCTGTTTTTAACCACTCCTCTCTACTCCTGGGTGAAAGAGATTGGATAATGGGCTCCGTTTCTATAAAATTGTTTCTAAAAAACAATCTCTTCTAGTCCCAGGCTTAGGTGCTATGTTAGTCCTAAATCCATTACCATCATGGTTTTTGTGCACAACAAAACCTTGATGATGGACTTCTGGTGGCTATCAGGGTTCCCACCAATAAGGAGAGGGAGCACCATTTATTACGATTATCTCCTTGATCTTTGGCTTAGGATATACTTCTCCAGAAACAGGCAGAGAAGACTAGATTTCTTCCAAGTACCTTTAAGTTTGAGACATTGGTGTCCATGCCCTATTCTGGGAACAGAGAAGTGGGTGTGAGGGATCATGATGGTGGCAAGTAATGGAATGGATTTTAATGTGTGCTCTGGGGAAGTGGCCAAAATGCTCTGTAGTCTCTCCTTGTACAAATACTCTCACCATCAGAACAACAGGACCTTTCCACTCCTAAATCTAGACTCTCAGGGTTAACAATATACCATTACCTAAGTGGTCAGGGATCCATTCCTGAACACATGTACCTCGTGCTTCCCACCCCATGGTACTGAATTGCATTCAGTTATCCTTTTACAGGCATTCTCTTCTAATTCCACATATTTTCTGTTAAATGTATTTTAAAACTGACCTCTTTAATTTTCTCTAATCCTAATCACTTTTTAACATCAGTCCTCTGTTTTCTAATACCTCCACACCTCCATGACTATCTAGCACATAACTGAAACTAGAATTGTGCTTACCCTGATGAATACATTTAATTCTCTCAACTCAAAGATGATCAGATTTGCCAAAGGTCACTCAGCTGATAAGGACACACATATATGTTGGGCTCCAGACATGAGGACTATTTGCCAGTATTTTCTTTGTAACCTGGATACCATGTTGGGAACTCTCTCTCTCTACACTCAACCCTTTTTCACCTACCAAATTCCTATTGGTTTTTTTAAGTCACCTCCTCCATGAATCTTCTCAGGTTTTCTGGTTGTGCTCTTTCCTGTTCTATCATCTGGGTGGGGTGCCTTGGTCCTGGGTTTCATCCCCTCCTTGCTTTCACTGAAATTTAATTGTCAGCACTCTTCCATCTCCCTTACTAGGTTGTAGGTTCCTCCAGAGCAGGGCAGGGTGTGGGTCTTGTCTTGGGATTCCCAGTACTAGCACATTGCATGATACACAGCATACACACAACAAATGCTTGCTGAGTACTGAGTAGTGGACCCCACTTCTCTGCTTGGGCCAAAGGCGTAATGAATGATGTCATCTGACTTAGCAGGAAAGACTTCTCATCATAAGCAATGCCATTTTCTCAGCTTTTCATGAACTCACTGTCTCACTAGGTCTATATTGGAACAAGTAACTGCTATCAGTTGAGGAACTACCACTTCTCAGACACTGAGATGCACATTATGCTTATCCTGAAAATACTGCCAAGTCGACATCATCCTCATGTTATGGATCAAGTTCAAAATCAGTTACCCTAAGTAAATGGCCTGCAGTCAGAGAAGGAAGGTTTTATATTAAAAGCATTATAAAATACCCTATTATATATAGTCACCCCTGTCCTGGAGAGATTCATTAGTATTTGAAATTACTTACACACACACACGCACACATACACACAGAGTACATTCATTTGGACACTGGAGTAGTGAAAACACGGTTCACTAGCATTTATAGAGGTTCAAGACAGTTCTACCATATGCATTATCTAGGGTATATCATGCCTGTAGTCTTAATTTTCTTATAAGTAATACCTACTTACTTCAAAGGGGGTGGAATATATATAAAAAAAAAAAGATCATGTTTGCCAAAATGCTTTGTTAAGGAAGTGGGCACTGTCCCATCTTAGAGCACTATGCTGGATAGAGTTTAGTGCCGTGTTTCTTAGAGCCACCTGAGGTGTTAAGAGCAGATGAAAGAAGCCAGGCTGGAAGTCCCCATTTAACAAGTTCCCAAATGCTTCTACTGGTCACAAAAGTTTGATAAATACCAGGTTAGGACAATGCTTATCAAGCTTTAATATACACATGAATCACTTGAAGATCTTGTTAAAATGCAGATTTGAATTCAGTGGGCCTGGGGGGGCAGGTGAGGGCAGGTTGAAATATTGTATGTCTAACAAGCTCCCAGGGGAAGCCATTGTTGCTGGTCTATGGATCACATTTGAGTGGCAGGGGGCTGGAAGATCTATCCCCACTGGAACAAATTAGCTTTGCTTTGTTCCTGGACCACAGATTGAATCTCTCAGCCTCAGGGAGTATTCCAGAAAGCCCAAGATCTTAGTATTGCTACAAAACACTTGAACTACTCCAAACTAAATCACATTCCCTATCTTTTTCAGCAGTAGCATCCTTTTCAGATACAGACAGCACATAGGTTTAGCATGTAAAAGAATAATTTATTGCTATTACTTGAGTTCTATTTACTGTGTAAAGCATTTGAATACATTATTTCTAATTCCAACTACAACCCCACAAGGTGGATATTCTTGCTCTATAGATAAGAAAATGATGACATAGAGAGCATAAGTTACCTGCTGAAAGTCACATGGCTAGTTAGGTGTTGCAGCTAGGGTTCCAATCCTGTTCTTTTAGGATCCAAAGCCTATGTGCCCTCTGTACGTCTTCCACGATGCTAGGTATGATTTTGGTACAAAATGTGACAGCTTAGGAAAAAATGGGAAAAAATATTTTCTCCTGTATCAGTCTTTGAGTTCAAGGCTTTGCTAAGGCAGATTCTAGATGGGGGTGAGGATGGGGATAAGGTTAATTAATTAGTGATCTCTAATGCCTCATGAAAAACATGCAGATAGCATCTTTGACTATGGTTCCCATAAATCTGATAATACAAATGGAATAAAAAGGACATCTGTGACCAGGGCACTGATCCTAAATATTGCCACCTACCCTCAGGCTTCTAGCTGTGGAACTTAACCAATAAAAAGGAAAAGATTTTTCTGATCTTTGTGGTCTATCAACTTTCCCACCTTCTCTTATATGAGGTTTCTGTAACTCTAAATTTCACACCAACTTAGGTTGACCCTACCATGTGATTTCAGTTACCACACTTCCCTGCCTGCATCTGAAAAAAAAAGTACTGTTTAGTCAAATATATTGAAAGTGCAGCAGTTTTGAAGATTTTCTTTTGAGCAACAAAATTTTCTGTATCTGTCACAAGGTTGACATGGAAAGAAATGCATGACAATAAAGATGCTCATGGAAATCAGTCAGATACTCAAGTATACCAAATGGAAGAAAGACAGCTATAAAATATACTGTCTAGGCATTTATCATCCAGTGCCTTTACCATTTAATGATCCATGAATGGAGTATCCACAGATTTTTTAACCTCAGGTTGCTTAACTGTTGTTTTCTAAACACTCATCTTTAATAATAGAATTGTCTACCTATATTACCCAAAATGGTACAATTAGAAAGCCACATCTCCAGTAATTAAATATATACATAGCAGTTAAAACCAAACAGTGATGTTTGAATTATTAAGAATTATAAACTGATTTTGCCCCTATGGTATTCTCTACACAGGATATTTCAAGAATAAAGACTAAAATCTAAAAAGAAACTGGTTTGAAAACCCACTTAAAAGTATTTTTAGACTGTGTATGTGATTTAAATAGACGGTAAGAAACTGAGTCTGGAGCATTGATCTCAAACTAATAAGCCTTTCCTGTTTCACTCCCTAACCCCCAGGAATAGTTCAGATCTCAGAAAATCTAAACTGAAGGTCCACAGAAACCAATTCGAGATTCTTCTGGAGAGACTTGACTGAAATGTTTGGACATGAACATGTTTGCAATGAGTCATAATTTATAGGACCTTAGTGGCCAGCGCCTTATGTGCCTTTCTACCTACATTCAATATCATTCTCAAACCAGCTGGTGATATACTTTCCAGGCCCCGATAATTTTTATGAAGTTACCAGATCTGTTTCTAAGGCTGCTACCCAGCACCTTTTCTCGTGATTTTTTTATGCTATCTAAACAGAAGAGAACCTGATTTTCTTTCTAAACTGTAAATCTCCCCAACCAGGCAGTTAATACCTTTTCCCAGCAAAAGACCCCCAAAGAGAAGATGAGTGGCTTTGGGGACACTCCAAGCAAAAAACAAAACAAAACAAAAAAACAGTGGGAAAGGTTAATGGAAGTGGAGGGGGCCTCTGGGCAAAGGCAGACATAACAACAGGATACGTTCGCTTCTAAAGGAAGCAGGAGCTGCAATAGCCCGAGGGCAGGAAAGGCGGAGTCAGTAGCACCCTAAGGAAACGAGTCAGGGTTTGCAGGGACCTGGCCCGCTTAGGGACTCCTGCTCCAGTCGGGTCCAAAGCTGGTGAGCACCTCGCCTGCGGGAGACAAGCGCAGGCCTCCTGGCACTAGTGGTTATAAAGAGGCACCCATCTGCTCCCTGCCACCTCCGCCAAAGATGGGCAACGGGGCGAAGAGAAAAAGCAAACACCTAGCGCCGCGGCAGGTGAACTTGTCAACAAGTCAGTCCCTGCCCAGAAGGAACCTCGGAGTCCCGGGGCCTGAACAGTTGGGAAGGCGAGGCACGGCGTGGGTGGAGTGGGCTGGCGTGGGTGGGGGTGCCGCGGGCGCCGGGGCTGGAGATGCGGCCGGCGCCCGGAACGCTTCCCTCCGGCTCCCCCGGGGCTGACGCACGCTCTCATGGCGCATGCATCCTCCAGACCTGCCCAGGCCCGAGGGAGGAGGCGGGGGAGGGGAAGGGGCTGTGGCGGTTCCCACACGGGGACCAGGGACCGGAGAAAGCGACCCGCCTGTCCCCCGCCGCCCGCAGAGGGCACAGTTGGCGGCCCCGGGCGGGCGCCCCGACCGCCGCGGCTGCCGGGCGTCTCCCGCTGCAGCCTGCAGCCCGCCCGGCGCGCCCCCGCCCCGACCCCGGAGGGCAGGTACCTCGGAGCCCCGGCCCCCAGGAGCCTCCTGGCCGCGGTCGGAGCGTCCCTCCAGCTCCCTCATCCGACGTCAGCGTCAGCAGAAGGCGAGGGAAGGGGGCGGGGGGAGCGCAGGAACCGGCCCTTCCTGCGGCGGTCGCCGCCAGCCGGAATAGCAGCCGGCGGAGCCCGTGCGCGCCGCAGCGCAGCGCAGTGGCCGGGGGGAGCGGGCGGCCTCGCCTCCCCGCAGACGCCCGCGGCCCGGGCGCCGCCGCCTCCTCTCCCTTCCTCTCTCCTCAGGAGACGCCCGGCGGGGCGACCCCTCCCACCAGCACCCGGGCACCCGGAGGAGCGAGGGCGCGAAGGCCTCACCTTTTGGGGGGCGGGTCCGGGATGGGGGGACTGAGCCTCCCTCTCTCTCCTCCCTGGGGACTTTCCTCGACCCCCATCTCCTGGGGTATCCCCCGTTTCAATCTGCCGCCCAGGGTGACCCCACCCCTGCTCTCCCGCGGGTATTCCACGTGTCCATAGCATTTACGTCATAATGACCTGGCCGACAGGTGGGAGCCGCAGCGAGCGCTCCAGGGTTCCCTCCGTGCTGTGCGTGGTGCGTCCTCCTTGCTTCCACGTAAGATTTCTGTGGCTTTAGGAAAGAGGAGACTTCATGACTTCCGTGCTAAGAAAAGTTACAGAGGCCTGCGCCTGGAAATTAACTTTGAGCTTAAAGGAAAAAGGCTGTGTCAAAAAACAACAACAACTGTGTATGTATATGTATATATATTTTTTATTCCCCATACAGTCATGTATCTTTTAAATTATTGACGCTTATAGTAATTTCATCTTATCATCACGAAAAAACCAAACTCTTGCTTTTAGAGCACCTTGTGGTGATCACAAAGAGAAGGTGTTGGAATAGGTGCTTCCTAAAATGATCTATGCTAAAAAGCAATCCCAATGTACTATGACTCAATCCCTGATTATGTTATGTATTTATAAATAAGTTCATAGAATAGTCACTGGTTGAAACAATTTAACAGAGTGGAATGAAAGATGGTTATTGAGCAACGATGCAAACAAATCTGAAATCCACAGCTAACATGAATGGGCTGCTTGCTATGTGCCAGGCATATGCTGTATACTTCACATTTATTTCTTACTGTAACCCAGTGCTGTAGGTAAAATTATTATCCCTATTTTACAGATGAAGACACTGCCCAGAGTGCCTTTAAGGCATTTAGCTGATAGGATATGAGCAGGGGTTTGAATCCAGGGTTGTCTGAACCATGAGAGGTTTAGCTTAATCTCAAGGTAGAAAGGTGCCTAGCCAAAATGGAGAGAGAAAAAGTTTAGGTGTCATTGACATTTTAATAGTAAGTTTGCAAGATGGTACAGCTACAGAAATTTATATAACCTTAAAAGTTGACATTATTCTTCGGATATACTCTTTGGGGATTTTGTTTGTCATAGTTGTCATTTGAGCCTATCCTAATATAGCAGAAAATAGAAAGTTGAGCAAACATCAAGTCCTTAATAAATGTTTACAAATAAACAAATAATGAATTAATATGGTCTACAAAATAGCAATTTGTTGAAAAGCTGAGATTCAAGACAAAGTTTGGAAGAGAAAAACGTTGCTCCTGTATATTTGGCTTTTATAAGAAGCATTCAAGGTGACCTGTTCACAATACAAGCCAAATTATTTTTGCTCTTTGTAAGAAGGAAAAAGGGAAAATACAAAACTTTTAAGATGAGCAACAAAGGCTTCTTGAATGTTGGGTGAATGTATCAATCAGTTGTTTGAAACGCTGAGAAATAGATCACAAAATTTCCTGACTCTGAAATGTTCTTTCCACCAGTGGTGATTTACTAGTTACATGAAAATGTATTAGGAACTCTATTTATCAAAGGCTGGCTTTGTAGAAGATACTTAAATTCGTTACAAGAGAGCCAGTAGAATGGCAGGTTGATGGTGTGTTCACAATAGCTCCTCAAAATGCAGATAATTGGAACACAAGCACTAGGGGAAATGAGCAAGAAAACTGATTTATGTAACTAATTACTCAGGTTTCCTTTTACTTTTCTAAAGGCCAAGGTGAAAACTTCGTGAAACATCATGGATGCTGAAAGTGGCTTCGAAGACAATATCTAAAAGTGAACAGATAAGTGATACAAGCCCTATCTGATCAACATGGCACTGAAATTCCTTGGGCTCCCAGAGAGTTTAAGGTAAATCTTTAAATGACTTGTTATCATTATTAGTGTTGTCCTAACATTAGGATATTTCAGAAAGGAAATAATAAACTCATGCTCATTCTACATCACCACAGTGAAGGCTTTTCCTTCCCATTTAAAAAATTGCTCCATCTATAAACTTCTGTTTGTTTCTGGATATCAAGTTGTTTCAATCTTACAAAGCACCCACAGGGTGTTGAGAACTTGAAACAATTTCTGTTATTTTAAAAAAGATTTTATTTATTAGAGAGAGGGGGAGGGAGAAGCAGACTCCCCACTGAGCAGAGAGCCCGATGCAATGTGTGGCCCCATCTCAGGAGCCCGGGATGATGACCTGAGCTGAAGGCAGGCGCTTAACAGACTGAGCCACCCAGGTGCCCCAAGAACCTGAAACAATTTCTAAGAAGAGAATGGTTATTGAATGATGGCATCTGAAATTAAGGAAGCTATACAGTAATGTACATATTCCAGGATGTAACAGGATGACAAGAAAACTTTTCCACAGAAACAATCATTACATATTCAAGTTAATGATTTTTTGAGGGGTTCCAAGGTTCAAGATGTACTAACAGAACCACAAGAATTAGGAATTGTGTTAGGCTGTCATTAACAGAGACCCAGAATAGCAGTGGATTAAATAAGGTAAAGGTTTATTTTTTCTCACATTAAGGAAATTGGAAAGTAGTCCAGAGATGATATGGCTTCTGATAGGTCATCAGGGTGTTGCTCTCCTCTCCTTCTGTTTCACCATTCTAAGCAAAGCAATATTGCTTAAAGTTAAAATCCAGGCAAGGATGTGGAGAAGTACGAACCTTCATACATTGCTGGTGGGAATGTAAAATGATGCAGCAGCTTTGGAAAACAGTCTAGCAGTTCCTCAAATGATTAAGCATAGAGTTACCAGATGGCCCAGCAATTCTACCCCAAAGTATATATCCAAGAGAAATGAAAACCTATGTCCACATAAAAACTTGCACACAAAAATCTATGGCAGCATTATTCAGAATAGTCAAAAGGTGGAAACAATTCAACAGTTCATCAGTGGATGGATGAGTAAACAAAATGTATTATATCCATATAATGGAATATTATTGGGCTGTGAAAAGGAATGAAATACTGGTGCATACCATAACTTGGATGAACCTTGAAAACGTGCTAATTGAAAAGAGCAAGCCACAAAAGTCCATATATTATATGATTCTATTTTTGTAAAAGTCTAGGATAGGGAAATATATAGAGACAGAAAGTAGATTAATGATTATTTAGGGCATATATATATATATATATATATATACACACACACACATATGTATATCAATACATTTGTATTAGATAATGTATGAACATACTTATACAAACTTAATCTAATAGAATAATATATGTAATATATGATATAATACAATATAATAATACTATAGTGGACTGTTGATATATATTTTTAATATGTATTTTTAATGTTCTGAGTGCTCTTTATGCTCTCAGCCAACATGAGCAAGTGAGGGAGAATGCCTTTCTTCCTTTTGGTGAATGGGAACCATAATGCAAATGAGTGCTTTACCATTCATCCAGACAAATAATTATGGTTTCCTACTGCTCTGAAATCCTTTTATTTTCTGACTCATCTTTGACAGCATCATATATACTTATGGTACCTGTTCTTGAGTAAGATGCTAAGGTAGAGCTGAAGCTATTATTATTATCAATGTATTTAATAAGAGCTATATATATAAATCTCTTCAAAGCTCAGCTCATTAAGACAAAAATCACTTTTCCTTGAATTGCTGGGAAATTGAAATTAGATAATCTGTAAGAATAAACTTTGAAAAAACTGGTGTTTTAAAAATTATTATTAAACTTGTCTGATTTTTACTGGTGATAGAAATTTAAAGACAGCTTAAACTAAATTTTATTGGCAAAATGAAGTCATTTATTCCCTGTATCGTGTAATACTGAAAGAGGAATTAGATGTACTCAACTAAGTATCTTGACCAATTTTGGTTTAATTCTTGTCATCAGATGTGCTCTCTCATAGCAAAACAAAGCTTCTATTATATTCTCATCAGTGATAGTTATGTCTTTAAGCAAATTTGTGTGTGCATGTGAAAATAGAACAAATGTTTAATTAATAGCATTAACTTTTGTTAATTAAAATTAACTTCCTTTCCCTTCAAAATTAAGGCTTCAATGAAGAGAGGAGGTTTATTTTATACTGAAGAGTAAAACCAGCATACCAGCTTAGATTTTTGGGTAAATAACACCCCACCTCGTCACCCCCAGTATCAATCCATTGGAACTTCTGCAAGAAAAGTATTGGTGATAGCATCAAAATGGGACATTCACTGTAGGTAGAGAACTTTGTCATGTGCCATCCGGTGTAATCCTGCCTTTTTTTTTTTTTTTTTTTTTTTTATAATCCTGCTTTTGACTAGGAACTGTGCTGGGGTTTGGGCAAACCTCAGCCCAGAGTTCAGAGCTGTGCCTCTGGTCTCATTTTTGAGATTATGTCCCCTATAGCAGACATACAGCTAATGATCCCTGAAAGGGTCACTCTCTGGTAAGGAATAGGACTTAACTGAAAGATTAGGATGGAACTTTCTAGGTCTTTGGTCTTCCTTTCCCCTCTCTAGAGGGACAGTTTAAAAAAATCACTACCAACCCTGTTGCAGATAGTTAAGGTAATTCAGGTGAAGCATTGGCTAAACATTTGGTTTAATCATGGGGTAAGAGGCTGAATCAGGACTATAAACCATATTTCGTAACTCCCAATCAAATGCATTTTTCCTCTTCTAGTTTTAACCCTGTCACTAACTTGCTTTGGCAGAGACTGTTAATCATTTCCTAATATTTATTCTGCCCTTTTCCCACAGTAATGTAAATGTCAGCTGAGTGCACATTGTTGCCCAGCTGAAGACTATTTTCTAGCTTCCCTGGCTTCAGGGTGTGGTCATGTGACCAGGCTCTAGCCAATAGGATATGACTGAAAGACACATTTGTAACTTTTGGGTCATGCTTTTGAAAGAAACACACCCTCACCTTTGTCTTGCCCCTTTCCCACTGGTTGGATCACCTTTGGCCATGAAGGGGAAGGCAATATATTGGGGATGGCCAGAAACTTGCCACCTGATCTGCCATACTGCTCTGGTCTTCCTGCCTGGGTTTTATGAGAAGGAAATAAAGTTCAATATTATTTAAGCCACTATTTAAGTGGCCTAAATAATGGGATATTATTTTAAGTAAATGGGATATTATTACAACCCAGCCTTTATCCTAATTAATCCATCTACTCCATGATGTTGGATTAGATCTTCATTTTTTATGAAGTTTATATTCCAAAACAATGATTCTCAATCTGTGGGTCACAGGGCCTCTGAGGGCCATTGGTGTTAATATAAAGGATCATGGGATACAAATCTCTAACAAATAATGTCTGTAGACAAAAACCCCTCCTTGAGAAATAAAGATAGCAATTTTGAAATACATATGATGTGATTGTAAAACAAAATCATTAGTGAATTTCTTGGAATGCAGGTATGTTGGTAATGGATCATTTAGCTTAGTACATCTGAAAAAGTCTATTTCACCTTTGTTTTTGAAATATTTTTTCACGGGTAAAGAACTCGAGATGACTTTTTTTTTTGGAACTTTAAAGATGTTGTTGTGTTTGAGTTTACATTGTTTCAAACATAAAATCTGTCATCTTTATCTTTGGTCCTCTTTGTCTTTTTTTCTTCTGGCTGCTTTTTAACATTTTTTTTTCCTTACAACTAGTTTTAAAAAGTTTGATTATGATGTCCTCAGTATTGTTTTTTCTTGTAGTTTTGGCTTTGTTGAGCTTTTTGGGGTTGTGGGTTTCTCATTTAATTCAAACTGTGAATAACTTCAGTCATACCCAGAATAGCCGACACAATATTGAAAGAGAGAAACAAAGTCCAGGGGCTGACACCACCTGACTTCAAGACTTACTATGAAGCTACAGTAATCAAGAGTGTGTGATATTGGCAAAAGAATAGATAAATAGATCAATGGAACAGTATAGAGAACCCAGAAGTAGACACCTGCAGATATAGTCATCTAAACTTTGATAAAGAAATAAAGGCGGGCACCTGGGTGGCTCAGTTGGTTAAGCAACTGCCCTTGGCTCAGGTCATGATCCTGGAGTCCTGGGATCAAGTCCCGCATTGGGCTCCCTGCCCAGCAGGCGTCTGCTTCTCCCTCTGACCCTCCCCCCTCTCATATGCTCTCTTTCTCTCCATTCTCTCGCTCTCAAATAAATAAATAAAATCTTTAAAAAAAGAAATAAAGGCAATTCAATGGAGAAAAAGATAGTCTTTTCAACAAATGGTATTGGAACAACTGGACATCTACATGCCCCAAAAGTGCATCTAGACACAGACCTCATATCTTTCACAACCATTAACTCAAAGTGGATCATAGACCTAAATGTAAAACACAAAACAATGAAATTTCTAGATGATAACGTAGGAGAAAATTTAGATAACCTTAGGTATGGCAATGACTTCTTAGATATAACACCAAAGGCCTACCCCATGAAAGAAAAAAATGGGTAAACTGGACCTCCTTAAAATCAAACACTTCTGCTCTACAAAATATACTGTCAAGAAAATGAGAAGACAAGTCACAGACTGGGAGAAAATATTTTCAGGAGGCATCTGATAAAAGACCATTAGCCAACTTCTTCCTAGAAACATAGCCAAAGGCAAGGGAAGCAAGGGCAAAAATGAACTATTGGGACTTAATCAAGATAAAAAGCTTTTGCACAGCAAAAGAAATAGTCAACAAAACCAAAAGACAACTGACAAAATGGGAGAAGATATTTGAAAATGACATATCAGATAAAGGGCTAGTATCCAAAATCTATAAAGAACTTATTAAACTCAATACCCAAAGAACGAAGGATCCAATCAAGAAATGGGCAGAAGACCTGAACAGACGTTTTTCCAAAGACGACATCCAAATGGCCGGCAGACACATGA